ACAACAAGCGGCCATGATCCAGGCTCTCGGCACCGCCATGGAACGTGTGGTGAACACAATGGAGCGATGGGAGAGGTCTGCCTACACCTCCTCTGATTACACCACCACCATCATCGATACCCATCGCTTCACCTCCGGGGTCCAGTGGGATTCGGCTCTCGCTCCCGAGGGCTTATGACGGCACAGCTGCCGGGTGTCAAGGTTTTCTGCTCCAGGTAGACCTCAACCTGGCAACCATCCACCTGGCCCCCTCGGGATACGAGAGCGTTTCCGCCCTCATCTCCTGTCTGTCCGGTAAAGCGCTGGAGTGGGCCAACGCCGAGTGGGGAGGAATAGACGCCGCTATTGTCAGCTATGCAGAGTTCACCTTCTGCTTTAGGGCGGTATTCGATCATCCACCAGAGGGAAAAGCAGCAGGTGAGCGTCTATTGCACCTCAGAGAGGGGAAGAGGAGCGTACAGGAATTCGCACTGGACTTTCGGACTCTGGCTGCCAACGCGGGATGGAATGAGAGGGCCCTCATCGACCACTACCGATGTAGCTTGAGGGAGGACGTGCGTCGGGAGTTGGCCTGCAGGGACACCAACCTAAGCCTGGACCAACTGGTGGACATGTCGATTCGACTGGATACCCTGTTGGCTACCCGCGGACGTCCGGATCCGGGACCGTCCATTCCATCCCCCAGCACTTCCGAGCCTACCCCTATGGAGCTCGGAGGTGCTGCTATGAGGGAGACCAGGAGAGGGGCCGTCCCCTGCACCAACTGTGGCCGCAGAGGACACACTGCTGGTTGGTGCCGGGGAGGGCCTCCTAGGAGTCGAAGCAGTAGGCAGCGCACTGATGAGCCATTCCAGGTGAGTAGGCACCCAACTCACCCAGAGCTCCCTGTTGCGCATATGTGTATGAATGTTGTGTTTCCCGAGTTTTCTCCTCAGTCCCAGCATAAGGCGCTAGTAGATTCAGGCGCAGCTGGGAACTTTATCGATCGTCAGTTTACCCATAAGTTAGGGATTCCTATTGTGCCAGTCGATATGCCCTTCCCTATCCATGCCCTAGATAGCCGCCCCTTAGGGTCAGGGTTGATTAGGAAGGTCACAGCGCCTCTCAGGATGAAAACGCAGGAGGGGCATGAGGAGATGATTTGTTTGTATCTGATTGATTCTCCTGCGTTTCCCGTGGTGTTGGGGCTTCCCTGGTTAGCTTCTCATGACCCCACTATTTCATGGCAACAGAGGGCTCTCAAGGGATGGTCTGATCAGTGCTTGGGGAGGTGTGTAGGTGTTTCCTTAGGGGCAGCGTCGGTAGAAAGTCCGAACCAAGTTCCCACCATGCACATTCCGCCTGAATATGCCGATTTGGCTCTCGCCTTCTGTAAAAAGAAGGCGACTCAATTACCACCCCATCGACAGGGGGATTGTGCGATAGACCTCCAGGTAGGCGCTGCGCTTCCCCGGAGTCACGTGTATCCTCTGTCTCAGGAGGAGACGGCGGCTATGGAGACATATGTCACCGAATCTCTGAGACAGGGATACATACGGCTGTCCACTTCCCCTGCGTCATCAAGTTTCTTTTTTGTGAAGAAGAAGGATGGTGGTTTACGCCCGTGCATTGACTACCGTGGTCTAAATTAAATCACAATAAAATAAAGCTATCCACTACCTCTGATTGCTAGTATTACGGAGTCACTGCACGGGGCGCGCTTCTTCACAAAATTGGATCTCAGGAACGCTTACAACCTGGTGCATATTCAGGAGGGAGATGAGTGGAAGACAGCATTTAGTACCACCTCGGGGCACTATGAGTACCTCGTCATGCCATACGGTCTGATGAATGCTCCTTCAGTCTTCCAATCGTTTGTGGATGAGATTTTCCAGGACCTGCATGGACAGGGTGTATATCGATGACATTCTAATATACTCCGCTACACGAGCCGAGCATGTGTCCCTGGTTCATCGGGTGCTTGGTAGACTGTTGGAGCATGACCTGTATGTGAAGGCGAAGAAATGTCTGTTCTATCAAGAATCCTTCTCCTTCCTGGGACACCGCTTGTCCGCGTCAGGTGTGGAGATGGAGATTGACTGACTGCGTTTCGGCCGTGCGTAATTGGCAGAATCCAACCACAGTGAAGGAGGTGCAACGGTTCTTGGGTTTTGCCAATTACTACCGGAGGTTTATCCGGGGCTTTGGGCAGGTAGCGGCTCCCATTACCTCCTTGCTTAAGGGAGGGCCGGTGCGTCTGAAGTGGTCAGCTGAGGCGGACAGGGCTTTTAGGCATCTGAAGGAGCTGTTTACTTTGGCTCCGGTGCTGGCTCATCCGGATCCCTCCTTAGCATTCCAAGTTGAGGTGGATGCGTCCGAGGCTGGGATCGGTGCTGTACTGTCTCAGCGCTCGTGTACGCCACCAAAACTCCGCCCCTGTGCTTTCTTTTCTAAGAAGCTCAGTCCGGCGGAGCGCAAATATGATGTGGGGGACAGGGAGCTGTTAGCTGTGGTTCAAGCCCTGAAGGTGTGGAGTCATTGGCTTGAGGGGGCTAAACACCCTTTTCTCATTTTGACTGACCGTCGTACCCTGGAGTACATCCGGGCGGCGAGGAGGTTGAACCCTCGTCAGGCAAGGTGGGCTATGTTTTTCACTCTGTGTTTACACTCATTTCTTTGTTATTCTGTCTCTCACTGTTCAAATAAACCTACCATTAAAATTAGACTGATCATTTTTTGGTCAGTGGGTAAACGTACAAAATCAGCAGGGGATCAAATACTTTTTTCCCTCACTGTATGTGTTTCAACAATTTATTAAACAGTGTAGAAAGCTACAGTCTAATCTTTGTTTTTTATGTCTGTGTTTGCTTATCCTGGATGAGCAGGAAAACAAATAGACATAGGGAAATACAGAGCACCACGTCAATGTAGACATTTAGGGCTGGTTTCCCAGACACAAATTAAGAATGAACATTTTAAATTGAAAGTTTTTTTAGTCAAGGACCAGTCTGACAAAATTGTTGAATCTCTAATCAACTGACAGCTTAGATCTTAGCTAGCTACAAAATATATTCTAAATGTGCATTAGTCAGGCTTCAGACCAAGGCAAAGCACCATCTCAGCAGCATCACTGGTTTTAAATTAAGCAGTGGTGGAAAAAGTACCCAACTGTCATACTTGAGTAAATGTGAAGATGCCTTAATAGAAAATGACTCAAGTAGAAGTGAATGTCACCCAGTAAAATACTACTTGAGTAAAAGTATTTGGTTTGAAATATACTTAAGTATCATAAGTAAAAGTATAAATAATTTAAAACTCCATATATTAAGCAAACCAGAAGACAGCATTTTCTTGTTTATTTTAATTTACGGATAGCTAGGGGCACGCTCCAACACTCAGACATCATTTACAAACGAAGCATGTGTTTAGTGAGTCATCAGATCAGAGGCAGTAGGGATGACCAGGGATGTTCTCCTTGATAAGTGTGTGAATCTTATAATTTTCCTGTCCTGCTAAGCATTCAAAATGTAAAGAGTACTTTTGGGTGTCAGGGATAATTGATGGAGTAAAATGTACAATATTTATTTAGGAATGTAGTAAAGTAAAAGTTGTCCAAAATATAAATAGTAAAGTAAAGTACAGATACGCAAAAAAACGACTTAATACTTTCAAGTATTTTATTAAGTGGTAAATTGTTTGGATTAGTGTTAATCTCGTCAACAAAAATAGTGACTAAAATATTCGCCAAACACCAATTTTTCAGTGGGAGTTACCAAGACCATAGCCTAACTGGCTAAATAGAACAAGAGCAAACTATAGGCTCAAATATTATATTATTATGTAGGCTACTAAAGATAACGTTAGTAGTATTGTTAGCTATGGACCGGGTCATTCTAGATAGTTTTAGAGGGCGACTAAACTTAATTTATTAAGTGCTTTTCATTAACACATTGGCCTACCTTGTTTTCCATGAAAAGTTGTCTTTGCTCTCTCGTGAGGCAGAACCAGGCAGGCAGGAGAGGAAGGTTGTCACTAGTTACCACAGCCACCACAATATCAAAATGGGCTATATTGTAAAAAATGTGTCTCTGTAGGCTGTACCTAGCAGACCACTGTGACTGACAAGTGAATCCACCAATAGCAGCGAGCATGGGGGTTAACGTGTGAAATCACAGGGACAGGGTTGTATTCACGTGACGAAACCGAGGTAAGTGGGCTGAAATTGGGGGATGTAGTATGTGAACTTGTCCATTAAGAAACACCTGCTTTCTTTTCCGTTGCGAAAAATTTCAATACGTTTTTCTATGACGGAAACGCGTTCGATGTGGCGGCACCGCCACACCAGATTGTAAAAATACTGGGGCAAATGCTGTCTCACCACACATTTTCCAGAAGCTCTGGTTTAAAATCTACCTGACAGATAGGACACAGTGTATTTTCTGACATTGTTAAGTCGAGTTTCCTTCATATTACGAAAGGTGTCCCATAGGGGTCGGTTTTAGGTCCTGTCATTTTTACTGCCTATATAAATAATATTGGTCTGTCTGCAAAAAAATGTAACATAAACCTGTATGCAGATGCCGCTGTTATGTATGCTATTGCCCCCACTGTTGACCAGGCTTTTTCGGAGCTGCAAACTGCCTTTGTTGCTTTGCAGAAAGCCTTTGTTCAACTGAAGTTGTCACTTTATACATTTAAAACCAAGTACATTATGTTTTCCAATTCACCTAAAAATGTATCTATGAATGCAACTGCCACTACACTGAAACCATTAGATACAATTTAGAGCAGCACACTTCGCTGTATTACGGGTGACAGGTTCATTATAAATCATTGCATTCTATATCAGAAAGTAGGCTGGCCCTCTCCTAAGACTTGTAGATCAATACACTGCTCTCTTTTTGTTTAGAAAGCCCTCTTGTGCAAACTGCCGTCATACTTTTGACTATTTAAGTCAATGTGTTAATATTGAGTCTCTCTTTCTCTCCACAGTACTCTGTGCAGCCCAGCATTCAGCCCAGCATTCAGTCCAGCCTGAGACTCGGCAGGTGAAAGGCATTGTGGGAAAGTTGATCTATTTTCCAGAGAGGGTGTTGAAATCTGGTAGTTTACTTAATGGAGACCTTGGCAATATTGCACAGGTGTACCCTGGTAAACAAAGTAATACCAACCTTGTGAAGAGATTTAAAAACCGCCTTCACTGGAACAATGTCACTGGATTCTTCACTTTGTCAGACCTACAAATAGATGATTCTGGGGTTTATACTGTGGAGAATGCAGTTAAAGATGAAGAGAAGACGACACATACATTTCAGCTGACTGTGTACTGTAAGTGTGTGTGTGTGTGTGTGTGTGTTGTAAATTACTAAATCATTAAAGTGGCACTCAGCAGCAGAAACAATACTAAAGTGGTCGCGTTATTGGTTTGGTAAAAAGCTGAGGAATGGGGCTGGAGAAATGTAACCACTCTCAAATTCATAGAGCTATGGTTGCAAGGACTGATCAACCATTATATAAGAAGTATAGTTTTAACCATGTTTTGTGACTATATATTGTTTGTTTACAATTTCTTTGTTTACAAACACCGGAGTAAAACAAGCTTATGTGTTCTCTGACAGAGACTAAGCTCATGAGGCATTTATAAGTTATATTCTTCAAGAATCAATGGGTACATATAATTAATTTATAAGTCCAAAAATGGATGTAGCAACTGTTCTTTGCCACTTTAAATAAGTTCCATTTCACCAATTCCCATTTATTCATTATTTTCTTCCAGATGTTCTGTCCAAGCCTCAGGTGACGGTCCATGACAACAGCTCCTGTAGCGTGGTGTGTTCTGTGGAGAATGGGAGAGATGTGACCCTGTCCTGGTACAGAGGAGGGAAGCTACTCAACCGGCGCAGCAGCCCTGACATCAACATCTCCCTCTCTCTACCTCTCAAGGTGGATGAACAGAACAGAGACTCTTACAGATGTGAGGCTGCCAACCCAGTCAGCAAGGAGACCACTGTTACAAATGTCTGTATAGAGAGTGATCCCTCCAAGGTGGCAGGTACAAAAAAAACATTTACAGTAGCAATGTTAAATTGCTGATATCCAGACAATACCAAATCGAATATGAAAAAATAAGTATGGTAGAGCTCATTTTAAGAAACACAATGTTTTAATTAAAATATTGTTTTCTCTCTTTTTACTTTAGATGGTGATGAGAGGACTCGAGGTTTTCTTATTATTGCTGTAATCTGCGTTTTGTTTGCCTCAGGACTTGTTGGACTTCCAATTTATCTTGAGAAGAGGAGAAACGGACAATCACAAGCAGGTATTCATCTTTTAGTGGGGTGAGGTCATTCTCCTTGTCAAATGGAACCTATCTTTTAATCAAATTCACTAGTGTGTTTGCTATGCTAATGCTGGGCCAAAGCTTCTTTTCAGTACTGTCTGTTCTGTTTAAATGTAGGTGCCTCCCCTGTATCTTTTTATAGCTGGTCATTGTTTAGTTTACCAGTGGATAGCATCTGTGTACATACAAAGCAGATGTTTGGTGAGATAAAGCCACCTACTCCTTAGAAGCAATGGCTGTTAGGCTATGTTGGAAAACAAAAAGTCCATAGGTTGATTTTTTCCTTTCACCATGTAGATTCTATTGAAACATTTGTGAAGGGTAGGTCTTTATTTGCCTTTTGATTCATAAAGTGATCTTTGGTGACATTTTACTCATTTATTTTCGCAAAATGCGAATTATTATTAAGTGTAGTTCAGATCTTGCTTTGATGACAACTGTGTGCATGCATTTTGAATGTACGAAATTAACAGTTTAGTTTATTATGATGGACCATTTATTGCTTGTCCTTATCTACACAGTATGTAGCTCATCATCTCTTAATAATACAATCACTCCCTCCTGCACCCTCCTGCAGACACTCCTTCTATTAGAGCATTTTGTGCTCCAACTACGTTAGCCCACATATATAACTGTGAAAAAATACAAAATCTACTGACACCATAGTGAGTTGTTGCACTGGAGGCTATTTAATTTTTATTCATTTGTATTTCAGAGTAGTTACTGAGACTGAATATTAAGATAATATAATTCACATTTCACTATTCTAAAATAATCTTATTACTTATTCAAACTGAGAAAGTGTACTGAGCTTTTTTTTGTTGTACTGAGCTTCAATATATTAAGTTAGACTTACCCATACATTCAATACATTTCCTAATGTTAAATGGTCGTCAATCCCCCATACATGCTTGAAAAATATACTTACCTTATCACAACCCAAAATATGATTTAAGTTTACTCTATTGTTTATATTTTTGTTGTCATTTGAGTTTTTGTAAACAATGTATTGCTACAACATACCTGTGAAAACTGTCAGTCCTTGCATCCATAGCTGCATTCAAGAGTTTGAGATTGGAACAATTTCTCCAGAGACACACAACCTCCAGATTCTGGTTTTATAGTTTAAACTAGATAGTGTGTGTGTATGTATTGATATGTAGGCTACGTGTGCCTTTACTATTGATGTAGTTCTGTACTTGAGCTGTTCTTGTCTATTAATGTTCTATATTATGTCATGTTTTGTGTGGACCCCAGGAACAGTAGCTGCTGATTTTGCAAAAGCTAATTGGGATCCTAATAAAATACCAAATGTAACCTACATCTAGGGTTAAACTAGGAGGGACCACTGTAATTGTTTGGTGGTTTTCAAGTGTGTTTTCTCTATTTGAGTTTAGGTGTATTTGGGATGTTTTGTCCAGTTACTTTTAATGCCAGGCAGCTGTACATTTCTAATTTGAAA